AAACCCACGACAAAATAACACCAAATTTAATACCACTTCTACTTCCTCCCAGGAACAACAAACCAGAATTCCTCATAGAAATCGGACATACTCTGAAACCTTAAAAAATAACAAGCTTCCTGAAATCAATACCGCTCCCGCAGACAATAGAAACCTAAATGCCCTTTTCAGCAAATTAGAAGGGATACTAACCAAATAAGCTTATCTGCTAACATCACTAATTAACTTTCTAACCCACCTACTCACGACAATATCTAAAAATGCCCCATAACACACTCAAAATAATTCTTTGGAACGCTAACGGGCTTCTTCCTCAAGTTGACCTCTTCCTCAAAACAAACAAGATCGACATTCTTCTAGTATCAGAAACCCACTTCACTAATCTTAGAGATAGATACTTTAAAATCCCAGGATACTCTATATACAACACTCAACACCCTGATGGCACCGCTCACGGAGGAAGTGCAATTATCATCAAAAATCAAATTATACACTATGAAATGGAAGCATACCAGTTAGACCACACGCAGGCTACAAATGTAAAAGTGAACACCGACCTTGGACTAATAACCTTCTCAGCAGTCTACTGTCCCCCACGACATAAAATTTCAAAAGAACAGCTTGAAAATTACTTAGAACGGGAAACAAATTTATATCTGGAAGTGACTTTAATGCTAAGCATATAATGTTTGGTTCAAGAGTCTCAAAACGCAGGGATAGAACTTTTTCTGACTACATCCACAATAAAAAATTTGCGATCATATCAACTGGAGAACCAACATATTGGCCGACCAATTCAGCAAAAGTACCAGACCTACTAGACTTCTTTATTTCCAGCGGAATATCTAACAACTATGTGCATGCTGAATCTAAACTAGATTTATCATCTGATAATTCTGAAGTTATATTAGTAATCAGTACAAAAGTGATTATCAAAACGCAGCAACCAAAATTAACAAATCCACTGACCGACTGGAAACTACTTGCACCAAGATTGATTCAAAAATAAATCTTAGGCAATCACTGAAATCTCATGAAGACATCGATTACGCTACAGAACAACTAACCAAAATAATCCATGATGCGGCATCAGAGTCTACACCAATTAAAACACAGCAGCATAACATTAT